TGATATAGCTTATTACGTCGACTCAAGGCAGCAAAAACCTATCTATTTTCAAGCTTGTGTTATTTACCTCCCAGGTTACAGTAAATGCGCAAAATCTACGATTACTTTTCTAGGTGTTGACGAGTTATCCGCGTCATTGTATCTAGGTCAACTATACTATTTACTCAGGCATTGGTGAGTTGACCGCATCATCCTTGCCTATTATTTTCTTACTCTTGGGTATACTTTACAGTTTATCCTTATTTAATAATCTTTTAGTCAAATTTTAAGGTCATCCATTATTTAATAACCCTCCGATCCGAATATGCGAGACCTTTGTATTCTCTCACCCTCAATTGAAGAGCGATTAAATAGGGGCAACTTTCATACCCCAAAATTTCCCCTCTAGTGCCAATAGTCAACTTATCTTTATTGGTCGTTTTGTTATTTAAATATTGGTACTATTATACTTTTGTTACTAATTTATTTTCTTTCATATATTTTGTTTAGATATAATGGGGTGAAATTATAAGTTGGGGTTGTATTTTTGTTATAAGGGCTCATTGTTACTTCAAAATGGCCCATTAGGTTCTAAGGTCCATGAGGGTTTCAATGGGGTTTCACCGAAGTCAACCGGTTTTGTTTATTTACCTTTTAATTCTTATTTTTTTTTTAACATATATTGGTTTTGGTTGACTAAAGTCAACATTCGTTTATTCTATTACATTAGTCATTATCTGCATTAATAATTATTTTTTTACTTATCAATTATTATTATTATTCTATTATTTTTAATTTTGTGACCAATGGTCAACTAGGGTTGAAACCCTAGATTCATAACAGCGGCGACGTGTCCCTCTTCTTCCTCGATAACCAACCCAAGCCCAGATAACACATATTGTAGAGATCGAAAAAACCCAAATCCAGAAATAAAATAAAAACAAATTAAATCTCACAATCAAATCTTTTGGATTGAATTTACAATACAAAATTTGTCTAAATACAGACTACATTCATCACAGTCTAACCCTGATTATAACAAAATCAAATATTGCTAATTTCCAATCAATTTACAACAATCAAATCCCTAATTTGATTCAATCTACAATCAATCTAAAATTATAACTGTAAATCATACAAATAATTTCCTAATCTAACTCTAACCTAAGACTATAAATAAACCCTAAAACTAATGAATTGGGAGGGGATATTACAAGTCGGTAATTGAAAGAAGAAGAAAAGAATCTAGAAAAAACCCTTGAAGGAATTATCGTTCGTCGTCGCGGGATTCCTAACCAGATCTCTAAAATCTCTTCATCGTTGAAGGATTAGAGTTTCATAAGTGAAACTCTAAACCCTTTTGAGTCAGGCCGTCACCTTTGTTACCTGCAAAACAAGGGGAAAAGAAGAGGAATTAGAGAGAGATCGAGAGCTTGAAGGTTCACGGTCGTAGATGTGATCCGATGACACTCAGCTTATTTTTTGTTGTTGTGATTTTGGAGTTAGACTTTGGGTTGTTGAAGGCCACCGTCGTTTAGGGTTTTCTAGGTGTTGGGGTCATTGTTGTTGTTGTTGCATTGGAAAAGGAAGATAAAATGAGAGAGTCTGAAAAGACGAGAGAGAAGGTTTGATAGAAATGAAACAAAAAATGGGAAGAAAATCATGTTATACTCCCTCCGCATCTTTGTGTGTGAAGCAATACGTGGCCACTTGCAGGCCACATGATTGGGTTGTTGTACAGTAATCCAATGTATGCCCCTACCCTACTCCCTAGTCAAACATCCCATAATCACCATATGTTCATTATACTTTAAATCATTGCTTAAGAATCAACTTCTGATAGCCATATGATTTGAATCGAACGTCTCAGACTGTGTTAGCACACCATAACTCGTAAACCTCCCCACATATTGGTCAGCAGATCTCAACAATTGTTTTTTAGGGACAAGCCCAATTATATCAGCACCCCCGGTTTTTTATTTTTACTATTTTCAACAACATTATACACCCCATTGCCTTATTGAATCCAAACCAATTCCTGGGCTAAAGCATATCGCTTCCTGAACCCCCCATAATTACCACCTCAATTCAAAATACACCCTTCTTGCGAAATTAATTAAACATTTTTTCTTTGTTTTTTAAATTTATTTAATTTATTTATTTATATACTTAGTTACTAATTAACTTCTCATAATCATTTTATCATTCATAATTCATCTTTACTTACAAATTGCATCATTCTAAGACAGCTAACCGATCAAATACTAACTATTTTTTCTACTAACATAATTCAAATTTCAACTTATTTTCAAAAAGTATTATGGAGATCTTTTAGATTAACTGTGAACTGCGTCTACGATTCATCTACTTTCAAACTCAGACATGGTTCAAGGATTAATTTCAAACATTTCCATAATCCATAAAAAAACTAACCAAACACTTATGAACTACGAATTGTGACTCTGATTCCTCATAAGAGGATACGTAGGAACACAACTAAAAAACCAAGGTGAGTTCCCTAATTAAAAATTAAAACCATTTTCCAAAATATGCAATAATATAACATTAACTACCAAATTCACCTTTTTACCCTTAGACCTAAAAAAGGATCACCTTGAGAACAAGGGAGATGAAGGGTGCCTAACACATTCCCTTTGTCTAACCGACTCACAAACTTAGAATATCTAACAATTATGGTTATCCATTAAATCCCCTTCCTTAGGATTAAAATTAATGGTAGCGACTATATTCTTTGTCGGTTATGACAAATATCTCAACTTCATATGGTCAAGTTTATCTCAAGGTATTATGGTTTGATTCATCAAGAAACTTCATAAGTTCATGTGTTTATTTTCATGCCTTCTTCAAAAAGTTTCATCAAGCTATGAACCTCATCATCAAGTTTGCTTCAATATGACATCATTTCAAGTCCTGTGTTAAGTTCAAAATATTCAAGGTTGATTCAAGTTTTTGACGTAATATGGAAAGTTCTTGATTCTATGTCCACAAGTGCATAACTCTCTCAATTTTCAACATTTTAAAGTGATTCTTTTTTCTATGAACTCTTCTCATCATCCCCCAATAACTTCTCTTTACATGAAAATATTCAATTATGTTTGAAGGATCATCAAAAGTGGGGATACATTAGAAGTCACTTTGTAGATTTTGACCTAATTTCATGTGATTTTGTCCAACATTGAAGGATCACAACTTGATCAATTTTCATCATTTAAAGCTCATTCTTTTCCCACCATAATCTTGAGGTTATTTTCTATAATTTTCATTCAAGGTGCAAGACCAAAAAGTTCTTGGAAGGTCATTGAATTAAAGGAGACATTATAGGTTATTTTTAATCCTTATGGACTTAAAATTTTTCTAAGTACAAAATACTTATTTTCAATCAACTTTGAAGCATCGTAACTTTTGATCCAAGCTGCCAAATGAATATTTTTTAGCACATTGTAAAGATTATGGAAAGATCTTTCAATTGCAAACGAAATAAGGTCATAAAGCTACCTATGAATGATGCCCCGTGGATCTAAATTTGGTCACCTGAATTTTAAGCTTTGCACCATGATTAGATTTTTGAATCCTTTTAATCTCAATTACAAGATGTCATACCCCAAATTTTTGATCACCTGATATTTTGGGTTTTATAAATATTCGTTTTTAAGTCTATTTAAAAATATAATAATTTATTTCATATTATTTGTATTTTTAATTGATCGTCTTCATTTACTTTCAATTGGCTTTTATTTCAAATAAATAACATAACATATTTGATAAGGAAGCATAACTACAAAGCATATAGTCAAGGGTTCAAATCTCAATTGGTGCACTTTGGATATTTTTGTTTATTTGTTACTAACTATTCCCATTTTTAATTATTTCCAAAATCATAATTTTTTTTAATATTTAAATATTAATTTTCGTATTCTTTATTATGCCATTTTTAAAAATGATTATTTATTTGATTTTATGTATTTTTTTACCAAAACTGACTACAAATATTATAATAAATACCAAAAACATTTTCTACCAGTTTTTGATTGGTCAGTTTACTGACCAAGGAAGATCTGATTTGCCAATCAATTTTATTTTGTAATTTGTTGACCTAATTATCACTATAAATAGAACATTTTTTTCACACTATTTTGGAGTCAAAATATCTCACAATCCAGAAAATCTATGAATTTCCCAAACTATGTTGTTGTTGTCTTCATCAGACAATAGCGAACAATTATCAACAATCAACAATGTCCACAATTTTACTCACACACATATACTTCATTCTTGCAATTCATTTTCAAAAATATATATTCAATATTATTAGTGTTATTGATATTTTTGGCCAATAATTTTCATATGAATCTCCTTCTTTTTATTCTCACTTATTTTAATTTTAACCACATGATGAATATTCTGATGGTTCTTTTATTTTATTAAATTCATGTCAATCACTTTTCACCAATTTCTTATGTCAATCACTTTTCACCAATTTCTTACTGTATATTCATTCGTGCAGTTTGGCTTCTTATGTTCTTTATGTTATTTCTATGCTTTATATATACCAATTCACAACCCATACCTATTCCTTCATCGAACTAACAGAGTCTATACAAATTTTCATGCATAAAAAACCTTTTTCCTACTAACACACAAGACATTTTCGATCTACACATATTATACATATTACCTTATTCACACACTAGTCCTCAAAGAAAAGACCAACACCATTTTTTTACTTTCATGATGTAAGACAAAAAAACTATTACCATCTTGACCAAAACATTTTCCTTCACAAAATACTACACCAAAAGGTCATCACCCCACATCTAGTTTTTTTATCACATGAACTCAACTTCAATCCACAAATAATATCAACAATCCAAGTCCCACAAATTGAAGCAACTAAGAAGAACAAACCTAAACACATAGAATTTTTACAGAAAGTTCCAAAACCCATCAGCATTCAAACATTACACCAGCTGCAAATAGAGTCACGACGAACCTCTCTCCATATGGTGCTGATGAAAATTGCGCGTCCTCCAATGCCCCTCCGACGGAAGCACCACGTTACACCTTCAACCGCTCAGTTGTTCCACTCCCGCCGTCAAATAACACTCTTACGACCGCATTGCATGAATATGTGCGCGTGGTCTCCTAACCATAAGGACAACCCACGCAGAAGCTCCTCCCAGTTCTCCGCCACCCGCCTCCCTTCGATCTTCTTCTGTCAACCTGCATCCGCGCTAATCTCCAAAACCACCACCGTCTTCCAATTCCACATCATCCGATCTCAGATCTGCAACCGTTGTAAAGCCTGCGACCGTCAAACTCAGCTCCGACACCACCTTCGACTACCTCTCCAGTCCCCTCCTACCACCGTGCATGTTTGGGACTTCCGCACGATTGAGGTTTTGTTCCATTTATATTCCTCTCATTTTTATACTTGTGGTTTATTGGTGATTTTTGTTTTGATTTGGGTAGAAGTGTTGTTTTGAAATTGAGAGAAGAGTGAGAACAAACCGCAAGAGAGAGGGAAAGAGAGAGAGTAATTATTGTGGTCTTATTTCTATCTCTCTCATACGCGTGGTATATATATATATATATATATATATATATATATATATATATATATATATATATATATATATATATATATATATATATATATATATATATATATATATATATATATATATATATATATATATATATATATATATATATATATATATATATTATCTATCTATAAAAATCAATGTCCCTGGAAATTACCAAAACACCAAAGCTGACAAAATGTTTTCTTGGTCTATTGTATTGGGGTAAAATAGGAAACTCAAAAATATCTTGCATCACATTCATTTGAATCTGATGTGGCACTCCCACAATTTTTCACCACATTTTCAATTTTTGTTTTTCAAATAAATCCATGCCAAACCATTATGCCTCTCTTCCTCTTCCCCATGCCAAACCATTATTCCTTGCCATTCAATATGTCTCTCTTCCTCTTCCCCATGCCAAACCATTATGCCTCTCTTAATCAGATTTCAAATTCAAATGGAACCTCAAAAGTTTTTCACTCTTTCTTCATTGCTACAGACGTGAGGAGTCGTTTTCCATTGCTTAACACCTTGTTGTCTCTGCGCTGTTACGAATTGCTGCGTGAGGATGGCGCGCCCAATCGAGTATATCAGTAGCATTGACGATTCGAAGGATTTGTGGAAGGTTGCTGTTAGATGTAAGCATCTGTGGTCTGTTACCAGTTCTCAGAATAGAGAGCACTTAGAGCTTATTCTGTTTGATTCAAAGGTATAATACAATCTAAACTTTTCTGCTTTGGCATTCTGATTTTGTTGTAACAGTACTGTTATATGATACTGATTTCAAGATGTTTGTATTTTCACAGTTGGATTTGATTCAAGCCATTGTGCCATCTTATTTGGTATCAAAATTCAAAACACGGGTTGAAGTTGGTTGTTCCTACATAATGCAGGTTTGTATTTTCACAGTTGGATTTTATTCAAGCCATTGTGCCATCTTATTTGGTATCAAAATTCAAAACACAGCTTGAAGTTGGTTGTTCCTACATAATGCATAATTTCAAAGTTTCCAGCAATGATTTCTCCTTCAAATCCACTGATCATAAGTTCAAATTGATTTTCTGTGGTTCAACTTCCGTCAAAAAGGTCCAACTTTCTGAGATACCTCTGAACCACCTCAAGTTAATTGGAATAAATGCTATTATTGAGGGTAAATACAGAACGAATTTGTTATATGGTGAGTTACCTTTTTACTGTTATAATAGAACGCATTGTATTGTTACTTTTCTGTTATTCATAACTGTCTGTGGTGAACTTTTGTGCAGATATAATTGGTGGGGTTACTGAAATATCCCAAGCCCAGATAATTCCTGATAACAACAAAAGCAAGATTGTGTTTTCATTAACTGATCTGAGGTAGGTGTTTCATTTTGTTTGTTAACATTGATGCTGACAAATATAAAAGTCTAACATGTTCATGTTGTTTGTTTTGAAATTCCTGTCAATCAGCAAACATCATGTGCAATATACTCTTTGGGGTAAATTAGTTGTGCAACTGAATGAGTATTATACGACTCATAAGGCTGATGGTAGTATTGTTCTCCTACTTATGAATGCAAGGATCAAGGAACCTCAAGGTTTGCTATGTGACTATTTCTTATTATATCCAATTATTATATCCAACTTTAAGTGTTGTCATTTATAAATATCTCAATTTTCAGGAAATTATCCTTTAAATGTATCAAATGCTTGGAACGACACAAAACTGCTCATCAATGATTTGTCTATTGAGGAGGTTAAAAACCTTAAAGAGAAGTAAGTGATTTTATTATGAAGTTATGAATTAGCAACCTATGATTTCTAACAGCCTGTTTTCATTCTGATCTATGATCATCAGACTTAAAGATGATCTGCCGACGCTCTCATCCTCGAGCATGAAAATGGAAACCACAAATACCTCTGTTTTTTCTGATTTGGACAAATTTGTATGGAAAGCTGAAGTGTTGAGTCTGTCTGATATTGCATATCTGCAGACAGTAAGTTGCTCTTTAATACATGACTGTCTTAGATTGAGGAATTACACAGACTGGGTTCTAATCCATTTTTTGAGACATCATCCCATCTTTCTGTTTCAGGAAACTACATGTGTGACTGTTGCAACTCTGGAGAAGTTTGACTGTGGGCAGTCAGGATGGTATTATGATGGATGTAGTGAATGTACCAAAAGTGTGACTTTGAAGGATGGAAAATTCATGTGTTATTCCAAACACATCAGTTCTGAGCCAGTCCCAAGGTAACTTCTAAGTATTGCATATCAATGATTATCATCATATAACCAAACGCTTCATTACTGACAATTTCTTATTTTGATCACGCATGGTACAGGTTTAAGCTTGAAGTGCTTGCCTCCGATGGAAAGTTAAAATACAAGTTCGTATTTTGGGATGTAGATTGTGTAAAGTTGATTGGGAAGTCCGCCCTTCAGATGAAGTTGGATTTGATGGAGGTATTTTCCATTTGTCTAATATGTAAGTTAGATAATTACCACGTAAATAACATATATTGTTTTAATCATTTAGACTGGAGATTTTGATCCCCTTGAATTCCCTTATGAACTTGATGTGATGCTGAAGAAGGAGTTGGCTATAAGAGCAGTGTTTCAACCAAACAAGGCCAGTCTTTCTGTAATCGGATTTAAGGCAGATGAAGTGCTACGTACCAAAATAAAGGAGAGGTTTAAATGTGAAGAGGTACTGTTGTACTCATGTTTTACTGTTGTTAAAATCAGTATCATGTGCATTGGATTTTTTTAATAATTGTTTAAAACTTGCAGCACACTTCTAAGATTATCGTCTCAACAGATGACACTCGGGATGATATGCATACAACATCGGTATGTTTTAAATAGGAATGACCTATTACTCTTGCCATCACATTTTGAACAATTGTCTAACGTTTATTTCTTGCGTTTTTTAACTTGCAGTGTACTCCGACCATCAGCACCTCGGAAAAACAGTCTCATGCTGATCCACAAACAGTTTCAGTGCGTCTTTTTTTAGCTTTCAACATTAACAAATTAGCCTATTAAACAATGTCTTACTTCCTTTTTTATGCTACTGATTTTGTAATGACTCTTTAATGGCAGGATCATATATCAATCACTGCAGATTATGACCCTTCAGTTGCCAACTCTGCACTTACATCGTCAAAAAGATCTATTCCTGAGACAGTTGAAGAACTCGACAGTGCCCAACTATCGTCCACCAAGATAATAAGGGACATCAAGCTGGAGAAATGATGCAGTCAATTATCGTCGACGATTTATTATTACTTTATGCTGTTTTGGACAACATTGCACACCTAATTTTGATTGATATAATGAAATATTTCTGGTTTACATTTTGTTTATTCTGGTTTATGAGGATTTGATTTGTCATTCTTGATTTTTGTTTGATCCTTTTGACATTGTATATGAAAGAATGATATGATTTTAGTCATTTAAGCTGCAAAAAACTATGCATAATTTACACTACAAAAAGCAATATGATGTTGGTAATTCCTTATTTTGTTTAATATAATAAACTTATTATGGACAAAGAATGAATATGATTTTAGTCATTTAAGCTGCAAAAAACTATGCATAATTTACACTACAAAAAGCAATATGATGTTGGTAATTCCTTATTTTGTTTAATATAATAAACTTATTATGGACAAAGAATGAATATGTTCCAAGAATGAATATGTCCCCTTCCCAATCTCATTGGCCTTTCAATTTAAGTCGGAGACAGTTCCCAGTAATTGTGTCAGTTCTTAGATTGGGTTGGTATTTACATTCCTTGCAACATTTTTACTCATGGACAAATCTATGTGGCACTATCAAAGGTTACCAACAAGAAATAAATAAAAATTTTGGTTCACGACGACGACAACACCACTAAGGTATCTACAACAAACATCATTTACAAGGAGGTTTTCCAAAATATTTGACTGTGGCGTCTTCTTAACAACATGTAACCAATAGTTTTTGACCCTGTATATGCATACACAGATTTTGAATATAACAGCATCAGTTAATGTTAATAGCATATGTGGGTTATGTTTCACTATTTTTCTGTTATCCCTACTAAAACACACCTTCCATACGGTACCCGTGTTTCTCTTTGTTGCTACCACCAAATCATAACTAATACTACATAATTTTGACAGTGATTATTAATGACATTATATAATTAACAATGTTAAAGTATGAAAACATTATCTTCTCACTACAATGCATTACTGACATTAGAAAATATGTCATTTTGTTTTGCATACTTTATGCATAATACACGGTAGTATATCAGCATACTGTACATTAATATATAAAACTGATACATGAATAACAGATTATGCATGGCAGAAATCCATGACACTTGATTAATATAAATTGTTACCGGATAATACCGGAAACGATATGCAATTATCTTATCAACGCAATATATGGAACTAATTTCATATCATTCCATTTAACATATCATAAGCAGATTGTACATTGAGCCGTAGCCCAACAATATCATATAACAAAACTAATAACAAAGACAAATGGGCATCAAATAGATTTTCAAAACAAATAGTTATGCATTTCCGCCCATACAAAAATAATCCCTCCTTTTTGCCATGATGCTTCCCATGTAATCCAATCAACAACTCCTTTCAATGCTGCCCTCTCTCAACTTTGACCAATATACGTTCCACAGGAGGATGCTCTACACTGAATAAGAGAACGTCACCTTTCGACAGCTCTTTCTCCTTTGCAAATTTTAACCACCCCCTTGACAGAAACTTCTCCGTCATGTTCTCCCTGGATTTGAAAACACATTGGTACGTAATACCCGAGTCTGTGTCATGAAGATCAATATATGATCTTGGTTCCATGAAGATTTCTTTGATGACTGCTGCTGGAAAGTGCTGCAACA